CTCTTCTCCAGAACTGGAGAAGAATCATGCTGGACTCAAAAAGTTCACTCCCCACCAGTACTTCCTGACCTGCTGAACTTTTTCAGTATCCTCTGTGTATCTTAGAGTCATAGAGATGTACAGCACAGAAACAGACCCTTTGTTCAACTTGACCATGCCAACCAGATATCCTAAATAAATCTAGTCCCATTTCATCGTCATGGAATCTCTACAGTGTGGGAACAGGCCCTTTGGCACAACAAGTCTACGCTGACCCTCAGAGCATCCCACCCAGAACCATCCTGCATAACCCACCTAATCTACACATCCCTGAACACTACAGGCAATTTGGCATGGCCAATCCACCTACCCTGCACAACTTTGGACTGTGGGAGGAAACCCACGCAGACACAGGGAGAATGTGCAAATTCCACACAGACAGTCACCCAAGGGTGGAATTGAACCTGGGTCCCTGGTGCTGTGAGGCAGCAGTGCTAACCACTGAGCCACCGTGCTACCCTTTTTTTTCCAGCATTTGGCCCATATCCCTCTAAACCCATCCTATTCATATTTCCATCCAGATGTCTTATAAATGTTGTAATTATATCAGTCTCCACCACAGCCCCTGGCAGCTCATTCCATACACACAACTCCCTCTGTGTGAAAATGTTGCCCTTGAGGTCCCTTTTTAAATCTTTCCCCTCTCACCTTAAACCTATGCCCTCTAGTTTTGGACTTCCCCACCCTGGGGAAAAAAGCTTGTCTATTTACCCTATCCATGCCCCTCATGATTTTATAAACCTCTACAGGGTCACCCTTCAGTCTCCAACATTCCAGGGAAAATAGCCCCAGCCTAGTCAGCCTTCCTACTGCTCAGAGCCTCCGACCCTGGCAACATCCTTGTGAATCTTTTCTGAATCTTTCAAATTTCACAACATCCTTCCCATAGCAAGAAGACCAGAATTGCATGCAGTATTCCTAAAGTGGCTTAACCAATGTCCTGTACAGCCACAAGATGGCCTCCCAATGCCTATACTCAATGCACTGACCAATGAAGGCAAGCACACCAAATGCCTTCTCCTCTATCCTATCTACCTGCAACTCCATTTTCAAGAATTTCATTGCACTTTTGTTCCACCTCAGGTTCATCGGGCAAGATGATATTCTCCTGGAAGATATCCTGACCCTAAATTATTATACTCCTCTAGAATGTGTTTCAAGTTCAATGGCTTAATGTGCTGCAACATATATCTCTTTTGGCACATTGATGGTTACTAAGCCAAACTTTAGTCTTTCTCCAACTGATATAATTAGCATTTTCTTGCCAACTATGATCTAGAACTCCAGATTCTTGTTTTATGTTATTGCAATGAGCTCACAGAGTATCTGTCCTCTTAGCCTTAACCTTACTTGCAAGGGCAACGTGTTTGGATTACCATGCTGCACCATTTCACAAAAGCCTATAAAGTTCTTGATGCTACGTGATCCATCAGTGTCTTTTGACACTTGATTTGACCTGATGTTGTCTTCTGCGGTCCTCATTCCAACAGTCAAAAACCATATCTCACTTCTCAACTTGACTGAACCAACCAGTTGAATGGTGTAGAGTGATGCATCCGAATCTACAAATGACCTCTCTCTCTCTCTCTCTCTGGTGGCCATCTGTCGCCTGCTTGTTGTGTTTCTTTTTAGCCTGACAATGTGTGCAAAATTATTCAGTTTCTTACAGGAAGAATACTTCTTTCCCCACACTGTTCACGCCTTCTTCCCCTGTGCACAATGTCCTCCACAGCACTTGCATCCTGCTCTTTGGTTGTGACTTTTTCCTGGAGAATTTCTCGGCATATTGCAAGACCTGGTCTGTTTAGCTATGAATGTGCACCATCAGCTGATTCACAACCTCTGCACTTCAGCACTTTGTTGATCGCTCTCCTGAGTATGCTTCTCTTCTCTCAGTACTCTCACTATAGGGTCTCTTATGCCTAATAAAATCCTGGCTTTAATTAGATCATCTTTAAGCCATAGAAATTCACAGGTTTCTGTGAGCTAAGTCATGACACCATATATCAATCAATGGATTTTTTTTCCAATTTGGTGCAAAGTATTGAAAATTTACCACTCAAATGTAATATTCACTTGGAGTTCACAGTATGCCTTCAAAGCTTGTAAGCTTCTGCTGAGAATTTTTACTGCTGAGAGATTTAGGATGGAATAGACTTTGAAACAATCTCTTCCTCATGACTGACTCTTCTCAGTCCCTGAACAACATGGCTATAGCAAGGAATTTGGAAAAGTCAGTTGAGATGCACAACCAGGTCCTTTTTGACTTTAAGACAAATAAGTCTCATTTTCCATCTAGTGTTAAACATCAAGACCAGGTTCTCTCTATCATTAGCATATATTTCTCTCACTTTCGTCCTCATTATTCATTAATCTCAGCTCATTAATATGAGGGTCCCCGTCGACGACCCATCAGATAGAAACACTGAAAATTCCCAACATGAAAGTCAAAGTGGGTACCTGATGACTTCATCTCAGTATTTGCCCCTCTGGACCTCCATCTTGGAATTCCAATTCCAGTTCACCATGAGCAGTGACCATACTCACTTCATGTCCATAACATGGGTGCCTGGCATGTACCAGCCTCACCGCTCTGCCAGGGTATGCCTCCTACCAATTTACAGTTGGCTTCTGTACTCCATGCTACACTGGCACCTGTCAATGCAGTACTTCTTCAAGGCTCTTTTGCATGTAAGGACAGACACCCAATTCATGAATTGGACAAGGGTGCATCTCAGGGCTGCTCGCATGCTCTCTTAGCACACGTTCACTTCGTTCCTACTTTGATGCACGTAGCATTCTGTCTTGCCTTGTTTTGTCTTTTGATGCTTTGCCCTTCTGCCATACTTCAAAGGGTCACACCGCTACGGTCTTGACTTGCCTTTTAATGCAGACACAAGGCCAGACAGCTTGACATTGTTGTCAGCAGTCATCAGTCAAGGGGATGAATATGTTGCTATATGCTCTGTGCTGTGTCAATGTTACACCTGCACCATGTGTCAGCCACCTATACACCAAAGGCAATGTTTGTGCTTCTAACAAATGCCAGTGCTTGACCTGTTGGAAAGTGGCCTTTTAAGAATGGCTTATTAAGCACTTCCACCTACAGAGTGTTTGAGAATCAGGCTCACAACAGACAAATGGAGTGATGTAGTATGGTACCTTGTCAATGAGATGAGTTTGGAATAAGTGACTCTGGTGAGCCAACAATTGGCATATTGTGAGCAGTTTTGGCCTCTGTATTTAAGGCCTTGGAAGGGGTCCACACAAGGTTTAAAATAATGATCCCAGGGATAAAGAGCTTGGCATATGAGGAGCGGTTGAGGACTCTGGATACGTAGTCGATAGAACTTAAAAGTATGAGGGGGGATAATCTCATTGAAACTTACAGAATACTGAGAGGCCTGGATAGAGTGGTTAGAGAAGATGTTTCCACTAACAGGGCAGAACCTGAGATTGAAGAGACGGCCCTTTAGAACTGAGATGAGGAGGGATTTCTTCAGTTTGAGGCGGTTAATCTGTAGAATTCATTGCCACAGAAGCTGTGGTGGCCAAATTATTGAATGTATTTAAGACAGAGATAGATATGTCCTTCACTAGTAAGGGGATCCAGAGTACAGGCAGGGAGAAGGCAGGAAAATGGGGTTGAGAAACATATCAGCCAAGATTAAATAGTGGAGCAGGTTAATTCTGCAATTATAGACTCTTACAGTCTTATGGTAAGAGAAGACTTGCTAGGCCTCATGGAGAGAAAACCTGCATGAAACTCGATGAAAATGACAATTAGTCAAACTCTCTTAAAATTCAGCCCAATGCTTTAGGTGTACAACAAAGCAGTGTGTACAAACAAGGTCATCATTGAAGTGAACCTAAGATGTATACCTACAGGGATATACTTCATCGTAGAGGTCAAATGATTATGGAACTCTAGGAAGGACATAATTGCATTTCAATCCAAAAACAGCCAAACTGATAGCAATCAGTTGCATTGTCATTGTATCTTGCAACAAACAGGATATAGTCAAAGAACTCAATAGACACACTGTCAGATATTTCCACGTACTATTGTCTCTTAATTAATGTATAAACAGGGCTCATATTTATTACCTCAATGAAAATGCAGCAGTTCTAATTGTGCAGCATTCACTTAATGCTGCAGTGATGTGGTCACAAGGAGATAATGAGCATTTCCCATTGTTTCATTTAATTCATTCACGGGATGTGGTTGTCACTGGCTAGTATACCATTTATTGCCCATTCCTAATTGTACTTGAGAAGGTGAGGGAGAGCTGCTTTCAAGAACTGTTGCACTCCATATGATGTAGGTACACCCACAACACTGTTAGGGAGGGAGTTCTGGGTTTTGAACCAGCCACGGTAAAGCTTCTACAATATGTTTCCAAGTCAGGATGGTTTGTGACTTGGGAGGGAACATGCAGGTGGTGGTGCTCCCTTTGAAGCAAAGGGGAATTATTCCCTCTTCAGTATCAGGCAGCATTAGGGAAGCTAAGGACCAGGTTACTCACTGCCTTCTCAGCTGCAACGAATATGTGGCCAAATATGGGATTTAATTACATCTGAAATAATTTCAGTCAGACAACAGCAATTTAAAAGAGTCTTCATTCAAAAACCTTGCACCTAACGTTACAAAAAAGAATTTTCTTTACCAGCCTGTCCCTTCCCTAGTCAAACATTTTGCAGCTTTAATGACTACATGAATTGCAGAAAGATGAAACAATCATTATAAACTAAACACATAAACATCTTACAATCAAAGTCAAATGGGTCCAGTGAAGAACATTACGCAAACTATATCGCAGGTATCGCTGATATGCTCTTGCAGAAAAACAAGTCTGTAAAATCTTGCACTACAAGAAAGCATCAAACATTTTTGAAGCTCCAGGGATTGTCAAATAAATTACTTCCTGCTGGCTAGTTAGACTTGTGGAACAGGCACTCACCGTTACAACAGCTCTAGTGAAGTAAACATGCACAAGATATGTATCTGCTAAACTCTTCTGTTGAAGGATGTCGAGTCACTGCTGCTACTCAATGATTGAAGGATATTATCTATAATTCTTTTCTATTTAACTCAGCGCAACGGGCATGTAATGAGATGTTTGTGAGAATCCTCCCACTCATTGGTAGATATTTTAGGAATGCTTACAATACTTGTAGGTTGTGACAGATTTTTTTTTAGTTGTTTTTTGGCTGTTTTGATGGTTTGCACCTTTTACAGCCTTTCACTGTCTTCAAGAACACTGAGTTGAGTTATTTGTTACGCAGCAAGTGATCAGTTAGGAATGTATGGTTCCAAGACTAAATGTTCTGCTATCTGCCAACGTGAAAAAATTTTGTTTTTGTTCTGTATTAAGGCAATGGTAGCCACGATTAATATCAAACATACCCTCACCCTCTCTTTGTTTTGATTTTACATGTGTTTTCCACTATTATTTGTTCTAGAGTTTAAATTTTAAATTGTTTTCTATCCAAAGTGTAATTAACTACTGAAAAAAAACTACAGTTGAAAGAAGCATGGTAATCAGATAAGTACTGCAGGGGTGACTTTAACCCTAACTGCCTCATAGAAACTTAGCAGGCAACTAAAATCTCTCAGGAGACTGATCTGCCAATATCTTCCTTTCTTCATGTCTTCCAGCCATTTAACTGAAACTCTGATATGGCAGCAAAGTGGCTCAGGAGAAAGCTAAATATATACCATTGGCAAAAACTGGGCTGTTGTAAGAAAGGAAGTAATTCCAAACAGGGCAACTGACTGGATCCAGACAAGTAAGTTTTAAGCATTATGTTTAGTGTCCTATGGAGGCCAGGAGATCCGGAATCCCTGAAGCACCAAGTCTGCAAACCCCTCTCGAGGCTCTCCTGAATAGCAAAGCCTGTACCTTCATTCCCGTCCATCAGGCAGCTGGAAAATCCCTACGGTTAGCGATATGAGTAATTTATCAGTCTCAGATTTACAATTAAAAATTATATAATGTCAGCATCAGCTGTTATTTAGGAAAGAGAAATTTTAATTTCCACCTCACTTTGAGTGTGAGGTGCTTCCTAATTTCACTCCTGATATGTCTGGCTTTAACGTTTAGACTAGGTACCCGAGTCCTGGATACTCTAACCAGCAGAAATAGTTTCTATTGATCTTCACTCCGTGTCTCTTAATGGACAGAACCATTTTTTTTGGGACAAAGTGTGCAGGTGAGTCTAAAAGCAGGAGAGACTTCTCCTGGGTGTCGGTCAGATTTTCTCACATGATTGTGTTCTTCTCAGCTGGTTATGTATGCATGCAGAGGTAAAACATTAGATTTTATGCACAGGAGAGTAGCAAGTTCAGTCTCCCATATCTTACAGGTAACGAAACAGCACGTCAGTCTCTGCAACACGGGACCGTCACTCATCTCTCCAAATCACCCCCACCCACCCTTGGAGATGTCAGAAACCAGGCAAAAAAGGAGCAGCTGCTTTAGCAACATCTTCCCCAAGATTTTTCTAAAGCCTGTCCAGAAGAGAAGGGAAGTTCTTTTACCTGGGTATGGCAGGAGGCCATTCTGACTGGTGCCCGTACAAAAGGTGCCAGGGAGATCTGTGTAACAATATATAACTCTTCTTAACAAGAATGCTTGGTAAATAATATTTTGAAATATTAGAACTGCAGAAGAAATAAGTCATAAAAGCCAGGTGGTTAGATGAATCAATCCAACTTCTCTAATTCAAATGAGAACACTTTCCATTGTCCAGAAAACTATCAAATTGTAGGGATCAGAAACTAATCCAAGGTTGAATCTAAACCAATTTGGAACTGAGTCAAGTAGACTCCTCAGCAACTGATATTATGCTAAAAGTGCCTGCATTCTGCAAAGTAGTCCAATAATTTCTAACACTCATAATTACATTGTTGTCCCAAAATCTTTTAACATTACTATTTTCATCGGTCTACAGCATGGAAATAGGCCATTCAACCTGACAGATCCAGTGTTAATACAGCAAGCTTTTTATTATGTGCTGTTTGATCAAATATTCCAGACAATAAAGAGGTCCACATAATCAATGTAAAAACACATGTTAAGTAATAGAAACATAGTGCAAAGGGGTATACACATCACTGTTAAACTTTATTTACAGTATAAATTGCCTAAATAATCATGCAACTTTAAATAAAACTTACCAGTAGAGATCTTTCTCACTTGCACCTACAACTTGGACTTCAGGCTATATTGCAGTATTTGAGGAGAAATTGACTCAAAATTGAATCAGCTTTGATGTTTCATATGGCCATCCAACTGAACACAAACATATTTAGATTGAGCTAAATAAATTTAAAAACTATAATAATTGGACAGAATAATACAGTAAACTTCACGACAGTTGTGGAATATAATTTTTGCCGGTTTATCAAGAGTGCAGGTTCATAAAGTGCCAGTTAAAATAAAGTTTGCTGTAATCCACATGAGCCTTGTTCTATTCTGCTTCATTAACCCTTATCAACTTATCCTTCTATATATTTTGTCACCCTCATGTTTTTCACCTTAAATGCACCTTTGCTATATTTTTCAAACTCATTTGTGGGATGTGGGCATCGTTGGCTGACCATTTATTGTCTGTCTGTAGTTGCCTTTGAGAAGGTGGTGGTGAGCAGCCTTCTTGAACTGCTGCAGTTCACCTGCTGTGGGTTGACCCATAATGCCATTAGGGAGGGAATTCCAGGATTTTAACCCAGGGACAATGAAGGAATGGCGATATACTTCCAAGCCAGGATGGTAAGTGGCTTGGAGGGGAATTTGAAGGGTTATCACAACTGCTCCTTGTGGATGTGCAATCCACATTCTAAATAAATAATCTTCAGGTAATTAAGAATCTCTTGAATTCCCTATTGGATTTAGGAGTCACTGCTTATGAGCTCTACTTTTGGACACTCCTGTAGGTGGAAGTATGAGCTCGATATTTATCCTATCAAACATTTTCATTATCATAAAGATATCCATCAAGTCACCCCACAGCCTTCTTTTTTTCTAGCTAAAAGAGCTACCAGTCTTTCCAGATATGAACATGCGAATTTAGGGGTAGTGTCAGCCATTTGGCCTTTTAAACTTGCTCTACTATTCAATCTGTTGATGTTTGAATTATATATTTCCATATACTCCCAATAAAGTTCAATTCTCTTGTCTGTCTATTCTTCTACATTATTTCCATATACTGTGACCTTTACCATGAAACTTCCTGAAAGCCTTTTGAAAATCCAAATACATTAGAATCTAGAGTATTACCCTTGTCTACTGCTTCTATTACTTCTTCAAAGAATGTATCAAGGATGGTAATGTATGATCTTCCCCTTTGAACTTTGGTGTTGATTATGCTTTGTAATGTTTTCAATGGTTCAATTGCATCTTTGAGTAAGCATTCCATCTTCCTGACTACCATTGGCATGTTGTTAGTATTGATAGTATTCTGAATTTGTTCTATCTATCTCTGTCTTTAAATATAGGAAGTTTCACAAGCGATGGGATGCTTTCGGGCAGCATTCACCTCTTTCTAAATTGTTGCTGCTAACGTCTGCAGTATTAAGAAGCCAATGCTACATTTCCGAGCACCATCAGCCTAGTGCAAATAGCCTTTGGCCAGCATTCGAACTCTAAGCATGTTCACTCTGCATTATTGTAAATTGGTGAAGGAGTACTGTTCACTAGTCCTCCTTTTTAAAAAAAATCACATTATGAACCCTTTTCTATGCATGGATTCTCTGGCCTTCGGTCTAAATGGCATGAACGCTAATCTATGAAATGCAAGTTTAGTCTGACTCTGAATGCATCTTCTAATGTGACCCACATCTTTTGGTGATCTTTTAGCTCTTCAGCTGCTAATCATGATGTGTTAATTCATTGTAAACCTCATTTCCAATTGCTAAGCAAACCTTAATGCTTGCTTTTCTCTGCTTCAGACTTTACTGAATTGAGAAACTACAGCACTTTATTGTTATTTAAATAATTTAAATTCCAGTAGGAGGTCTCCTATGTTGCAATTTAACCTAGGGAATTTTGTGGATATTCTGACAATTTGCCTTTGACCTTTCCTTCCTTGCAATCGAACTTGATCATACCCAGATCTTTCTCAAGTGATTTTAAGTTAGCATTTCAATGAGTATGTGTCTGCTCACCAGCAAGCTATGCTGTCCACACTGTCAAATTCTCAATAAATAAAGATTTCAAGGGTTGTCTCATGCACTTTAGCATGAATTAAGATGTTGAACCATGTGTTCAATCTGTGAATTATCTTGCTTACTGTCTGTACTAGTGAAATAAATTTCATCAGCATGTTTTCAACCATTGTTCACCAAGTTATGTTAATAATAAGGTAGTGATTAGTACAAAAACAAAAGGGTTATCAAATGATGGCCTAGTGATATTATCACTAAGTGATTAATCAAGAAACTCTGCTACTGCTATGGGGACCTGATTTGAATCGGACCACGGCTGATGTGGGAATTTGAATCCAATTTTTAAAAATCTGGAATTAAGAATCTACTGATGAGCATGAAACCAAGGTCAATTATCAGAAAAAAACCCATCTGACTCACTAATGTCCTTCAAGGAATGAAATTTGCCATCCTCACTTGATCTGGCCTACATGTGACTCCAGACCCACAGCAATGTGGTTGACTCTGAAATGGTCTAGCAAGTCAGTCAGTTCTATCAATCGCGATAGCACTGTGGGCCATCAACAGGAGCAGAATTTTACTCCAGCACAATCTGTAACCGGGATCAACACCGGTTTAATGAAGAGTACAGGAGGCTATGCCAGGAGCAGCACCAGGCATATCTAAAAATGAGGTGTCAACCTGGTGAAGCTACCAAACAGGACTACTTGCAGGCCAAACAACATAACCAGCAAGTGATAGACAGAGCTAAACAAACCCAAAACCAACAAATGAGATTTAAGCTCTACAGTAACAGAGTCATAGAATTGTACAGCATAAAAACAAACCCTTCGGTGCAACTCGCCCATGCTGATGAAATATCCTAAATTAATCTAGTCCTATTTGCCAGCATTAGGC